TCAAAACTGCGCTTGATTAGCTGTTACTGTATAAGGACCATAAGCAATATTCACATTTTCAGCCAACTGGTTTGCGTTTTCGCCTTTATCGAAGAAAAACTGTAAAATATGGTGTATTTTATCTTTGCTGTGTCTCTTGACAGTAGTAGTTTTTGTTCTTTTCTAAATGTTTTTTTTTTTCAAACATCGTTCTAAGACTCTTAAAGGGATTGTGTCTCTCTTTTGACAAGTTGTCCAATGTTTCCAAATTAAGATAGGACGTAACCTTAAGGACTGAGTTTAGCGAACATATTTATTTAATAACCTTTTGGCAGGTAGGAGTTGACTAGTTTTATTATTGCCATACATATGCTTAGAATAGCTCTCGTAAAAGATAACCTAATATCTTGAAGACGTTGCAAATGATACCTAAATATATAACATTCCAACAACCTATATGTAATTTGACAAAGTTAGGGCATGTCTGGTGGCTGATATTGTTGGCTTAAACCCAGTAAAAGTGTAGCGGGTAGATAAAAAACTTTTAACAAGAGAGAAAAGAATTTGTATAAACACTATACTAGATCAGATTCGGTACGGGATTCAATGGTTTCACGTTACTATTGTTTCTATTTTTTTTTAACTTTTACATTGATTGTGGCAACACTTTGCACTGATCAGTATAGTTGATCAAATTAAGCTTATCTCATATCCGACCAAAGCTTAAGATTAAGATCTTTAGAACATCATTGATATTTTTAAACCGAATTTCTGCTGATGTGATAATCCAAATGAAAGCTCTCCCATTCAAAACCTTTTTGTATTAAAATTTTGTACAGAAGTTCGCAAAATGATACTCAAGGCTACAACGGGAAAAACGCTAATAAGTTTCAAACATTTTTAAGTTATGAGTTAATGGATCAAATAAATTTTTTTGTCGTAATAAAAAATTGTGGCATTGAAATGCGCAACTGTAAACACTTACAGCAAGTCTCGAAAAAATATTGCTCATACATTTCGCAGCAATTATTGTAATACCGAATAATAAATCAATTGGTTTGGCTCTAGTTCACCTAAAGAATTTTTATTAGTGCGATATGTTAGTTCTGTGAATGGGAAAGAGCGTGCTGAAGCAGAACCGAGTCAAGAATTAATTAATATATTGCAGCAACACCTTTTTTACTAAACGCCATTACGTGTTTGCTCGTATGTATGTATGCATGTGTAGCAATAAGTTTGGAATTTTGCGCACATTTCGTTATGATCATTATTCAATCAAACACACTAGCAAAAAAAAAAAAGCACCGAGTCACTCATTTTTAATAACATAACAAAGCACAAATGGAAATCACTTAGTATGATATCATCGTTACAATAAAAATTACAATAATAATTTAATTCAAGAAAGTAATTGAATTCTGTGAAATGGTTGTAAATCATTCTTAAGTCAATTGTAATTGTTTGAAGAATTTAAAAATATTTAGAGGTTGTTGCGAAGAACCAGGTTCTTGAAATTCCCTTTTTGTTGAAATTATGAAATCTGAACATCCCAGAGACTAATGTTTTTCAAGCATGCAAACAATTACTTTTTCATCTAACAAAAGGCTTCAACTATAATAATTGTTTCGTTCCTTCATGACCTAACAAAGCCTAAAATTCATTATCTATTCAGAATATAATAATAAAAATATGTGGGGCCGCTAAATTCTCTTCAAGTGCTGGCAGAAAGAAGCAGTCAGTCCTCTTCTGTGATTGCTCGACAAAATACAATTGGTAGTATGTTAAGCCTCTCATGCGACAGTGCTTGGTTCCGCATTTTCCCTACAACAAAAAATCCCATTGCTAAGCCTAGTTTCTCCTGGTTTTTTCATTTCCTGGAGTTTCAGACAAACTTTTTTTTATACAGTACAAAATTTTATTGTGGATCTCTTTTCTTTAAAATAGTTGTTTTCCACATTTTCAGTAGAAGTTAGACAATTGTTAGCACTTTTTGGAGACTAATATTGAGTAGGCCATAACTGCATCGCCAGAAAACATTTGTTTCCATTCTATTTCATTGGCGCCATATACCGGAAAGTGCAGAAAACAAGTTGGCACATACGTTTGGGTAAACATGAGGTTAATCTGCTACAGTATCCAGAAGGTAATTGTGCTGGATTTACTTTAAGTTCTGGAGGTATCTCGAGCTTTTCATCTGCCAAGGCCGATGTTTTACTCCCAGGGCGTCCTTGATTACTTCATCCCGCATCATTAATTCCTACTTGTAGTTTGAGCGAATCTATAAATGAAACTGAGTACGTAGAGAGTATTCAGGAAACAAGCTATCCTGTTACTTTTCTTTAAACATTTTTTAACCTCCCCTTTCAGGCATCCGACGTCTGACATTTACTTCAATGAGGCCTTCATTATCGACCAATTGACGGAAATTCGCAGCTCGCTGCACGCGGCCTCATAGTCACCAACATCAATTGTCCACGCTTACTCGGTTGCGTAGCGCGTATTTAGACATTTGGGGCACCGCATTTTCCGCAACAAATTATTGACCACAAAATGTTTGTGCACTTTATTATGTATTTTTACAACAACTACAATTACAGCTCGCTATCCACACACACCTATCGGCTCGCATTCACGCTACTCACGACGCTCCTACTCAACTGCTCGCCACCCCACCAACCATCCGGTTTCGGTGTGATAATGTTATTCTAATGTGTTTGAATTTAATTGCCGATCGGCTTGATCGCCTTCGCGGTGGCTTCTAGCATGTTTCCTTGCTGTGGCGAGTCTTTCGAAATTAATTGAATTAAGTTGTTGATTGAAGCGTGCAGCACACGCTTCCCATTGCACAGTTAGTTGTAAGCTTACTAGGAGTATACATAGGTATGTATATACTTGAGTGCTTGTGGCACGTTGTTTCGTAAGTTTGTAAATGAAGTGGTGCCCGGCGCCCGGTGCTCGATCGCTCTACGCCTCATTCGTTTGAGCATTTCATTGCATTCGTTGGCAATCTTGTAAACTTTTTTGTTTTTATTTTTTCTTCTTCGGTTTATTTAGTTTGCTTCTTATGCTTATAGCTTTTTTTTAACTATAATTTTCAATGCTGCAACGCTTTTTATTTGGCTTTTGTTTTTCTTATTGTAAATGGTGTGCTATTAACCTGCCGAATAAATTTTGGATTGTGAAAGGCACGCGTTTGTATAAACATCGGTCGCAAACTCGCTTAGAAAGTGTAAATTTGTTTATAGTACCTGATTGTATATATGTATGTAAATATAAGATTATTTGTTTATACACTTTTCTTCTTTGTATGCCTTGTAAAATATAAAATTTTATTACTATAGGTAGTGGTACAGTATGAGTCGGAACCATTGCAGCTTAATGCAATTAAAAAAATATTTAACTGTTTTAATTTGGTTTTAATGTCTATGGCACTTTTCTGTTATCTCCGCAACATTTGTTGCTCGACGTTATTGATAAACTATTAATACAATACAATAGTAATTGAAGTATATTAATCTTAGTTTTGAACAAATTTTTTCCAAAAACAAAAAAAACGTTAACTTTGGCTGCACCGACGCTTTAATACCTTTCAAAGGTGCTTTTTTAATAGCATAAAAGGGTATAAAAAATATATTTTTTGATTTTGATCAGTCAGTTTAAAAGACAGCTATATGCTATAGTGATCGGATCTGAACAATATGTTCGGAATTTGTAGCAATGCCTTAGATGCCGAATTTCGTGAAGATACCTTGTCAAATAAAAATAAGTTTTCCATACAAGGACTTGAGTGGCAACGGTCAGTTTATATGGCAGCTATATTGCTATATTGTCCGATATTGCCGGTTCCAACAAATGATCAGCTTCTTGGTGAGGAAATAACGGTTAAATTTGAGGTCAATATCTCAAAAGCTGATAGACTAGTTCGTGTATATACAGACGGATATGACTAAATCGACTCAGCTCGTCACGCAACATCTATATATACATACACTTTACAGGGTGTCTGACGTTTACTTTTGGGTGATACAAATATCGTAGTAAACTTATACACTTTACTCAGGGTATAATAATTATGGCTCACGGTAGCGGTCTTTATTTGCCATGTCACTTTTTTTCCGCGGGTCTTGTTTCGGCTCGTTATACTTACAATATATCCAAAACTTCCACCAAAATAAGTAGAGTATATCTCAGCGACCTCTAAGCTTTCTGAAATGCTAACCCGATAAGTACGTCTACGATGTTCTTGTTACAAAGTTGTAAGACGGACGCGTTTCTCACTAAATTACTGTTAGGCAATATACCGATTAACGGATTTTCCAACTTTTTAATACTATTCTATACCTATAAATTTTTTGCTTAAAAATAGTTCTTAATTTTTGAGGTTTGCTTCTAGTGACCTTTCTCTAGAGCTCTGAGAACATAGATAAGTCGCTGGATGCCATATCCGGAGAATACGGGGGATATGTAAAAAATTAAAGGTCCAATTCTTCAAATTTGTTTAGGGTATTGATTCACGATAGGGTGAATCGCTTAATTGTAAACTTGCGCTGCACCCGCGTTACAGGGCTTTTTGTACTTAAATATTCATTAACGGTATGTCCTGTCCAATCCGCTGTCTTTGCCTACGTGTCCAAAATCATTTTGTGGATATATTCGATTTTTACTCTGTGACAACATCTTTTTGTCATTTACTTCCACTTTCTTCAGCGCTATTTTTTTTTTGTTTTTTTTTTTTAAATCAAAAATCAAATTTTTTGTAAATTACTAAAAATGCTTTATCTTACGAACCAATTAACCGATAGCTGTGAGGCTTTTACACGTCTCTTTTAAGGGTTAGGTCTGAAGGACATTCAAATCTTGTAGCGCTCTCTGATAGAACAGAGTCCATCTTTTCAATTATCCTGGTACTTTCTGTCTTTTAAGTGCATACTTTGTGTAAAATTAAGCTCGCAAAACACATTATTTCTCCATACTATATTTTTTAGCCTTCTATTTCCTATCTTCAAGAAAAGTTTACAAACTTTTTGTTTTCACTGAAGAAATATATTTATTTGCAGTAGACTCAATAGTTTTAGCAACTTTTACCTACTATAGATTATTTAAAATAATTTATTAATGATAATTAACTTCAATCCCACATCCAATTCATTCTGTGTAAGGCGGCAATTCATCATCCCTATTTGGTATACCTTCTTTTCTATACTCTGCACTATCCAAGCTTTCACTTAGCTGACGCTGGCCTCCTCGCCTCGGCATAAACTCTTGGCCACCTAATGTGATGCTTGGTGGTACCTTTTTGCCTCGAAATTTAATGGCATCAAAAGCTGGTGGCGGCGTCTTGTGTTCCGGTGAGTTATCACGCTTTGATGTGCTCGTATGCCAAACAGCGATACGTTTCTTTGATTTCTTCTTCGGTAACAATTGTTTGATGGACGTACCAGAGGCGGGTTTCACTTTTGTTATTTCACTGAAGCGATGCATTGCACTGTATTTTCGTCGATAGTAGATTATTTCCAATACCAAAGTAACCATGGCCAAGCCTAAACCAAATAGTGTGGCAATAAATACACCACCCAAACTCTCGAGTGATATACCTTCTTGTTCTTCGTTTACCGAACAGGCTTTAATGCGGGACATGTTCCAATATTTCGCTTTTAGATCCTCGAAGAAGCGATCCTTTTGCAGTTCCAGCAACGCATAACTCAATTCGTCCTGTAAATTAGTGAGATAAAATTGTTGTTGGAAAAAAATTTTAGCGCTGTAACTACTTACCGCAAAATGTGAACCTTGTTGTATCGCAATGGCGTAAGGTTGCTCCGCGAATACTTCCCCAACTTCAGTTAGGTTACAGTTGCGCGTCAATTCGTATTTGATTTCGGACGAATCGTGTATAAAAGCGAAATCGGCATTTTCATGTTCGTTGACCTTGCGGAAGCCTTCTTTAGCATTCTTTACTGGTTCGGAACCATTTATAGCAAGCAATATTGTACCATATTGTTCCTTGATTGGATAATCCCAAATTCTGAAAAACATAAATAGTTGTAAATACAACAAAAAGAGCAATGCTGTCGATAAGGATCTAGGAGGTTTGACGAAGTGCGCCATTAGTCTTTAATTTTCAGATTATGACTTAGCCTGGACACAATTCTGTGACCTGTTTCAAATCTGGACAGAAAATATCTCCTATTATAGCTATGTAGTTGATAGAATTTTGGAAACAGCACAATTTATTATATCGAAATTTTTACCTATATCTTTGAAAATCTTCCGTCACGTTCAATGTCAACTCCTTCCACATCCGGTAGAGAGTATCCTCAGCGAATTTCATGTTGATGAAATATTGATGTGTGCCAGAACCTTCTACGACAGTATAATTGATTCTTGACTGACGTGCCAACTGTTCCAAAGATTGTACTGGTGTCTGCATACGTTCCACAGTGAGAAAGGCTGCTAAATTAGCTGTGAAGGTGGCCAACATCAAGACCACAAATAGCCAATAAGCAGCGACCATTATACGCCCAGAGACGGCTTTTGGCGCTTCACCACCACCCTGAGGCGTAAATGAGGTCAAGGCAAACCAGAAACTCTCGCGCAATGTGAATTCGCTGAAAGCAGTAAACACATTTTTAGGTTATATGTGGATTTCATAAGTTTTCACTCACCGACAAGGATACTGATAGGCTGCACGATTATTTCTATAGCTGTAGGGTGAATACTTATCCAGCAGCCAAATCATTAATGCGCTACCCACCAGCGCCGCAATAATGCTAAACCACACTTCCACCCGCAAGACGGTCATGAATTTGAAAAGTGATGTCTGTCGCACCGGTTTACGCATTACAATCGAAATGCCTGTTTGCTCAAAATACGGCGCTATATAGTCGATAACTTCCTCACGTTCGGAGTACATTTTCATCGCAGTAACAGCAAAGTCTGTTTCACCAGTAACTAAATCGCCCACAATGCCATCCCAAATATCGTTAACAACATCACGACGACCAAACTCACCCGAAGCCGGTGGTACTAGCATGTAGCCGAAATTTAAACGCTCAGACAACTTTTGAATAGAGTCAATACAAAAACCCTCCCAAATCGGGTTGCCAAAAGCGTCGAGTACTAGTTCATCAGTTTTCGGATCGCGTTTCATGTAATTCCAAGGTATGGCCTATAAGCAGTAGTGGAAATGACTATCTATCAATTTAGGTATGACACTTCTAGGGAACGATCTACAAACCTCCACAGTGCCTATGCGAAAAAATCTTCGTGGTGGACTGATCGTCTCATTTATTTTGCGCAGATTATCATTTTGCCAAATGGCCAATTCGGTCAGAGCATCGTGTTCGGTCGAATAAAGATTTATGTTGATCGTCGGTGAATAAGTGAGGCGTGGTACGTGATCGAATTCGTCTTCGGGAAGAGTGACTTCGGTTGTAAATTGTAGAAACTCACTCATCGGAAATTGTTCCAAAATATTAAAACCCGACGTTCCGTTTTCATTGGGGCTTGTGGCGTTGCATTCCATCACAAAAGACTGCAACCAATACAAATTCGCTTGTTTCAGTTCAATTAAGCCGCGTAGGATTTCCAAAATCATTGCGCGCTGAAACTGTAGCATAATTAGAAAGTAATTATGTTTCAAAGCGTTTAAAAAAACTTCAATTGATTTACCGAAAACCCACTGAGGCAATATGTGTCCTTCATTCTTAGTGCTCTGCATAGTGTCTTCGGATTGATTGTAAATTTTGTCGCATAATCAACTTGCTTCTTAAATTTAAAGACACGATCTCGTGAGTCCAAATAAACGAAATGCCATTCTCGTGGTCTTTCGAAGATATTGGCTTTCGAAATCTAAATGAGAAAAGTATGGACATCTAGTGAAAGAGTCAGTCTTCTTCTGACTTAACATACCCTATCAAAAATGGTATTAATCGCTGTGCCATCCGCAAAGATTGCATAACACGAAGGCATTGGTCGGATTTTTCGTAGACGCTTTATAAAATCTTGTTTATTATCAAATGCATTTATGATCAAACTGTGAAAAGGATAACCTTCGACGATTTGTATTACCGCTTCCTCAGTGTCCTAAATATTAATAATAAAAATATTTTTTTTGTAAATAAGCGTATTGAATAATAGTAAAATGTGTGAAAACATACTCTGGCATTCTGAAAAATCATAATACATTCATGTCCCGACTTTTGCATCACAAATTGCGAAAACATTTTAAAATATGGTGCCAGTATACGATCTACCCGTAGGAAAGGTATTTGATACATTCTAAGTAGATCCAACCCTTCATGCCAAACGTGGTAAGTAAAGTCGATAACTACCGATACGCCGACCGTTGCAAGGTGTTCACAAACTATATGGAAGAGTTCGGAGAATTATTGTAAATAAATTTTGAATTCCTAATAAACATTTTAATACTTAAAATGTATAGTAATTTAATAATTTTTTAAATCTTTCTCTGGGTCAAACCGTCGTGTTTGAACTATGCATTGATTTTCAAGGAGTTAAAAAATGTAAAATCAATTTATTCGAAGCTTAATCGTAATTTTACGATATTTTAGTTGGCGTTTTAAGTAACATTTTGTAAGCATCGCTGTGCAACACGTTAACTTAGTATGGCACAACTTGTTCTGATCTGGACGAATCAAAAGTTTGGGTTTAATCAACTATTATTGAATGGAACTTCCTGAGCCTAGAAGCCGGCCAATAAAATATAAACAGTTTTTTTCACTTTGCAAATTGTCAATATTTTCCCTTTCACATTGTCTAATTTGGTCGCACAGTTGTCAGAAATTCCACACCAATAATTCGTTTCTAGTCTGAAAGTTATGACCTATTTTTTGCTAGTTTTGAAATTTAAAATTCATTTTCATATTTCATATCCTCAGATTACGTGAAAGTCAAGTAGGAGAGTGCCACGTATGGATTATGAAACTGTTACCCCTATTATGGTTTTTAACTTCACTCAGTTGAATCAATTCAACTTCAAATCAACTAAATTCTGTTTTGGTATTACGAACTTCAACTATTTTCAGTCGTTTCATTGGTGTTGCCAACCTAGAAACTGAAGATTTAACAGATAATTAAACATAAGTATGACAATTATGTGACAAAGGATTAGGAAATGTTTTATTTAATTTGATTTTTACTGTTTCCAAATTGAACTTTTTCACCTTGTTTTTTCTATTTATTTGTATAAAATAAATGATAAAAAATTTTTCAAATTATATATAAAATTGTTTATTTGCACGTTTTTCATTTTCTATAAGGTGCGTTCCAGTAAACAGTAAAAAAGTAACAAAGTAAACTCTAGTGGCGCCATCTATATGTCGACTAGTGCGTTAGAATCTGCTTTCCTTTATCGACTTCCAGTAAAAATTTCATGTCATTTCATCTATTGGAAGTGAAGTTATTGCGTTTTAAGTGTCAATATGTTTTTGTCATCAGTGCGAAAATGAGATTTGAACAGAGAGCCAACATTAAATTTTGTTTTAAAATTGGTAAAACTTTTACCGAATCGTTTCAATTGATGAAACAAGTTTATAGCAAAGATTGCCTATCCCGTAGCAGAGTGCACGAGTGGTTTCAACGTTTTCAAAGTGGTCGTGAGGACATAAATGAGAAATGAGATGTATTAAAGCAGAAGGAGACTATTTTGAATAAAATTAATTGATTTAGCCGATAAAACCATTTGTTCTGTCTTTTTTTAAAAGTCCTGTTTACTTTGGAACGTACCTTGTATTCATATGTTTCTTAAATAAATGCAATATATTCAACTAAACTGCTTGGTAGTAGTTGTAATTTTTTGATATTCTAGTCAGTTTCAGCCGACTTATTTTTGACAAATTGAGTTGATATCAATAATACCGAATTAAAAATCTAACCAAAATGCAGTTGAGTTGAAAACCGTAATATGTTTATGGTTTCTGCTTGATCTTGTATAGGTGGCATGCTTCGGACTTATTTCAAATAATTTCAAACTTTACTTTATTGTTAATATCTGCGTTTCACGTTTCAATATTTGACAGTCGTCATATGTCAAGTCACTATTCTCGATCCGATTATTCCGGTATCTTGAGCCTTAGCCCCAAATACCTTCTTTATCTAAGTTTTAGGAATCGTTTTTGTAACAATAGCGACATTGACATTAAGTCCACGTACGTTTTTCCATATTTTTCTGCCCCTTATTTCTCCCGACGTTCTTTATAACGACAATGTGATGCTGGATCTTGGCCTCCAATTGCAAAGCTTCAATTTCTTTCACAGCACTTGCAACATCCAACTCGATATCCGTCTGTAGTGGGTCAATCCAAAATGCTGAAGAAACAAAATATGATATAATAACCGTTTTACTTCATTTCACAAACACAAAGAATTTGCTGATATTTTGTACCGATTTTCAATTCGTTTGCGCAAACATAGCCGAAAGAGACCAAAATTACAATCTTTTGCAAATGCCACATTATACCACGATTTCGAAACGTCCATTCACGGTGAGTTTGAAAAAAGAACTGTTACTTATGACTTGCCATAACTGTGTCAAATGCAATTCTTTAGCTTTGAGGAAGTGTAGCATCAAAATTGCACCGGCTGACAAATCAAGGCTGATGTATAAATTGCATAATAATTTCGAGTAATTTGCATTGATTTGTGCACACAAACCGACAGGTGACACTTCTCAATTATTTAGAGTCCTGACCAACTGAAGTGTGTTGCAAGTGAAACAGAAGATTGCAACGGAATTAAAGAGTAGAGCTTCGCAATGTGTGCTACTGACACATATGTATCTAGATGCTATGTAGATTCGTGGCTAAGTGTGTAGAGTTATGAAAATTGCTCGCATAAAAATAAACCAATTTTCAAAATAATCACAATTTTTAACGTCTGTGCTTTTCATATAAAATCGATTTATTAGGACAGTAATTATCTAAATTGGCTAAGCCTTAGACTTCAGACATAAAAAGACTAACGGTTACTAACTTTTTTTTTTTGAAGACAATATTTTGAGTTGAGGTCAGCCGCGGAATCTTTTGTTATTCAAGAATAACTGCAAAAGTGTCCGTCGGAATTTAATTTTAAATTGAGAACTCCTAGTCAAATTTATAGAAAATTTGCGGAAGACATTGTTTCTTTACCATAAGGTGGTTAACTATTGTAAATAGTAGCTTTCAGTGGTACATGATTATTTGAAACTTTGATTTAAAAATAACAACTAAAGTGACTAAGAAGGCAGAATGTTTTAAATTAGATTTAGAGGATCTAGCCAATACTAGATTTAATCTCATCATAATCTCAATTGTTTACTCAAGAGCTAACTCATCTCTTCATCCTGATCATTTATATATACATAATCCTATATCTAACTCGATTAGTTTTGGGTGATAACAACAACCATTAGGTGGACAAATCTATTATACTCTGTTGCGACATGTTGCAAAAGTATAAAAATTTGAGAGACTCGCGCTTCCAAGATTATCATTTTGGAAAATAGTTCTAGCTGCAAGGTCTTTCCTCAGTATCGTGACGAGACCTCGGCAGCACAGCCTCTGAATTTTATTTATTTTAAATCTATTGATGTTCAATAAGGTGCACTTTTTTCGATCATTAGATTGAGGCGATTTGACGCCTCTCACACACAAAAGGCTATAAATCTTTCTCGTGATCACACCAAGAGTATTTCTCTTCTATAGTCTACACGTTACACTCCGAGAAAAGTTTTGAGAAATATAAATGTCCCAAAATATTAAAAATATGTATTTTTATGTCTTTTTGATTCCAATTTTAAAGCTCTTATGAGAGCAATTAGGAAAAACAGTGAAAATGTCTCATAAACTTAAAGCACTGTTACATACAATATAAACACTTGGAAGTTTATAAAGCCGAGATTTTTCTAATGAGTTTAAATCTTTTTCAGAGGTTATACTCTGTATTAGAATTTCGTCACGATCCTAAGTTGGGTTTGATGGGCAACATGCTATTTGTATATATGTATGTTTCTATTTAAATTAGCCCAATTAGTTCGAAGTTTGATTTCATGTGCCTTCGCTAAGCGTACAAAATACAGCTTAAGCCCCCAAATCTTTTTTGTTCTCATGCATGGTCTCATTTATTTTATGATCTCTGATTTGTATTCGCCTTTTCAATGCCACTTAAATATTTTATGGCCTTTACGAGTAGGCATTGTTTGCCCTACACACACTCGCACATCGCTGAATTTGTCATTCTAACGCCGCGCGCACGCTTGTGTTGTTCCAGCGTTCTAAAGCTTACTAAATTTTTTTAGCTTTGTTCCTATACGCCTATTTTAATTACATTTCATTTACAATCACTGATATCACCTCGCCAGAGTTTGGTGCCTTCAACTATGCGCTCAGCAATATTTCAATTCGATCTGCCCTGATTTCCTCTGCCCCCAACAGTACATGTTGTTTTAAATACTATTGAACAATTTCATAAATGTCTTTTTTATTATTGCTACGAGTACTTTAATCACATTTAATTACAACAGCAGCGCTAAATAATGTCAGTAATGAATAAAATTCAGTTGTAATTGTTTGTAATGTCATTTGAGTGGCGTTGTTCAGTGATTTTAAAAACGCCGAGAAAAATGCTTGTGTGCTTGGAATTATTTATATGCATAGCTACATATGTACAATATACAAATGTATATGCATTAATGTATATGCCCATGTACTTACATACATACTCCCATACTTGACGATTCTCTACTCATGTGTAAACCTTAAACTATTTTTTTATAGAGAACATATGACGGACCTTTAAAGTACCGTATTTTGCCAGGGAGTGGCCTTAAAAGCGTGTAGAAATAGTTATAAAAGTCACCTTTCATTATAGCTTTAACTGCCTTGCGAATTGAGTAATTAAATAAAACAGATAACTCACTATTTCAGCGGCCTGTCTTAGGCAAAGTGGTCCTATGCTTTAGTAAATGTCTGTATAAAAGTAAAAAGGTACGTACATATATTCATGAATTTGGTAATAGCATTATTAGTCATTTCTCTAATGTATTTTTGTTCTAAGCTAGTCATGCAGAATAATTATTATATTACTTTATGGTATTTATGCAGATTTATTATTATTTTAATTTTTACTAACCTACAAAATAATAAAAGGATTGATGGATAGCCATTCAAGGGTTTTCGCTTGATATTTCAATTACAAGAATTACGTTATGAAATTTTGTAGCCTTGTTGGATATTCTATAGTCAAGGCCACACTTTAGTGAAACTCAGTCCTTGACGTTTATTGCGTTAGCTCGTGTGGCATTCATAGATTGAGCTTTTTATATACCTACCTTAAATGTTTCTTAGCGATGTTTTGTGCCATATTTAGTTCGTGGGTAATCGAAACAGTACACAACCAAAATGGAGCCTGGCTTACATCCGGGCAAAGATTGTCACCTTCACAGTTTTCTCGGAACGGAAAATTGTATGCCCCTACAACACCAACATTGCATTTTATTAGCTCATTAGCATTCCTCATGCTATTATAAGCTGTTTAGTGTAAATTTCAGCTTGATCATTTACGTGGAACTTGTTTTTGATCGTTTGTGATTCATATATTATTCTTGAAAGTGACGCATACAACGTTTTCTGGGGCTGATCTGTAACTAATGCTATAGTACGTTGCACTTAGGTCATAACTAAAGAGGCAAAATGGTAAAATCGAAAACTTTATATAATTTGAAAGAAAATCACATTTTTTTAAACAAATTTTGATACAATTAATTATCAAACTCTTCGATTACTCCAAAAAAAAAGTCGCTTAAAACCAGATCTGTAAAAAACGTCGGATGCGGTAGCAAATCGAAGCTCAATTCATGAAATTTTACCATCATTTGCATAGGTTTGTTATACTGCACTTTGTCCTTATACGGTCTTTGCAGAGAACCCATTATAGTTATTTATGAGATAGAATTTGATATATTTTATAGAAATCAGTTAGTTTAAAAAAAAAGTTATATTCTTTGCAGACAAAGTTTTGGACAGATTGATGGAGACAAACATATCGCTGCTGATAATGAAGAAAGACGCAATGATCACTTAGCACGACAAATTGTTTCTTTTCAAAACTAATCACTAAAAATAACACTTTGTGGATGTTGTGACATGAATTAAAATAACTTCTTAAGAAATAGTTTTAGAATGGGTTAAATGTCGGGCATTTTCGGTATAATTCTTTACCAGTGTGATTATGCCACTTCTTAACTTGACTTTTTCTGACTAGACAGATTTCATTCCTGAATTTTTTTGTATATATTTATCCGTTTTCACAAACATGATTTTGAAGCACTTGCGTTTCAATTTTTATACAAAGAACACACTCGCTCGCTTTGTGCCTCAATTGATTTAGCCTTCATATTTTCATTTTTACGGCTGCATTGGTATATACATACATATATATGTAAAATTTGAGAGTGATCGTTTCGCAATACAGTAAATTTATTTTACATTTTTACCCATGACTAAATGCTTTACAAAAAATTTACTACTTTTTATTGCGTGTCATTTGCATCGTATCTATGTACATTAGGGTGTCCGTTATTTCCCAAGTTGTTGTGTTTTCTATTTTCAGTTTTTGCCCTAAAAAATTATCTCTTCTCTTTATTTTCAAGTTAAATCGTGTCTAAATTGTTTTACTTTACCCATGTACACTGCGTTCAAAAAATATCGTTCTACCATCATATCTATTGTAGCCTGACATCTTTAATAGGGATTTGCAACTAAATTTTTCGCATATTCAACAGGAAGCGATCTTAAGGTATGTTGAAGTACCCGCATGAAATTTTTTGTTAACGTTAAATATTTTCTTGATATTTTGGCATTCATTAAAGCCAAATGACGTATAATCTAAAGTAACAATACGATTTTCTTGCTTCATCATCATCGTCTATAAATATTAATTAGATTGATCCAATCACGCTTTATGTCTTCCTGCGCCCAATGCCACCTTTTTTCAAAGTGTGTTTTTGAAAGTAGGAGTTTGATTACAGTATTGCTGCGTTTGATGCCAGATCTCTGAAGTATGTCCCGTATTATATATAGATATATATGTATACTGTATAATGCCTTTTTAAACAATATTTTTTAGTTTCTCTTAGACTAAATTTCAAAATAAAGAGCTTCTTTAAGTTGGGAATTATTTTTAAAGCAAAATCTGAAAATTCAGAAGGCGCTTGCAAAAAACATTTACTTGGTAAATAACGGGCACCCTAATGTACATGTATATGCATATAAAAATACATATATGTATGCGCGTCGAAAAATTTATTGAATTCAATTAGTGTCCACCAATTGTGGGTGTTCATGGCAATGCCTTTTAGAAATCGATGATGGTAAGTGTTTTTAACGGAAAGTTTAACAGGGGTCACTCTGGTCAATTTATAATGTTGAAGGTGAATTCAACATGTTCATCACACAGTGCCAATGTGTGAATTGGGAAAAAATTATAAAAAGAGAAATACTGTTATAAAATTTTGTGAAAAATACGTTAAAAGTAAATATTTGAAGATAAATTATAAACTATTTTTCAATTTTAATATACTTCATCAAAATGTCAAAAACTCGAATGGTATATGATTTAAAAGTTTACACATATATTTGAAAGTTCTCACACAGCTATTTTTATATATATGCATATATTTATTTTTAAATTACTTCATTAATTTCCTCAACACACTTGACTAATAAAAATGTTTTTGTTCTCTTTTTTGCTTGCAGGTAAATGCTCGTTTGTAATTTGAAATTTAATCGACCCAGTACCGTTACTTTTATTTTATTGCCATATACGTTTACATGTAAGTGTAATTCTCAACCAAATAACGACTTTTTGAATAAGTAAACCATGTATAAACATATGCTCTCATACATATGTATTATATATGTAAATATTATCTGATTGCCTCACTTATATGCAAACACCTTAACGAAAATGTTATACCTACATTTAAGATTCTGGGCGTGCAGAGTTCTTTCATACACCCATTACCATTACGAATATTTTTCTTTTGTTGTTGTCTCTGTCTTTGTAACGCTAAAAATGATCGTACCAAATACATACAATGCAAATGAGCAAATTTCTATTCGAATTTTCAACTTGTTGCGCCAAATTAATGCGATACTTAATGTTGTTCTTGTTATTTTTTTGTTAATGGCAACCACAGAATAAATGAGTTCAAAAGCGTCATTTTGCTGATTGCGGAATTGAGAATTCTTGTTGTGAA